AAAGGCAATTTTAGGACCTCGTCATCGGCATTTTCATCGGCATTTGGAGCTGCATCAGCCGAAGTTGTCGCCGCATCTTGTTCCTCGAGCTTCCACTCGGCGGCAATGCGAGCTGTGAGCTCATCTGCCTTTGGCACCTCTGCATTCAAAGCCAGTCCATAGATCTATTTGCTTAAATCATTACAACGTAATGTGTTGCTGCAGTTCATACCTGGCTGCTCAGCAGAAGAGAAGCTTGCCTCCAAACCCCACATGGACGCCACGTCGACATCCTCTTCCATATCGTGATCTTGCATGATGTCCATGATCTCAAGGAGCCGAGGATAACGCCCTGAAGACATCGTGTACAGGTAACATGCTCAGTGGATACATAGCATAAGTTGGGTTCGAAAGCATCCGGGCTGCCGACTCGAAACCGAAGGCCAATCGCCATCCTTTTCACCATGCAGCTTGGCCAAGTAGCGCCAGCTTCGGCGGAGCTTCCGCAAAGATCTGACTGGTGACATGTCATATATGACTGGGACAGAAAACAGCTAGGGTATACCCTTGTTGCAGGCCAGCAGCTGCAGCATCATCTTGATCTCCACAACGTGCAAGAAGATCACATCTTTATCCAGGTTAGCCGTAATCTGTTGGACGGCAACCTCCCAGATTCGGATCAATGCCTCTGTCGCGTATGGCAGCACCGGGCTGCCATCCACCAGCGGTCTCAACAACCACAAGTGTTCCTGCGTGCTGTTAATGCATCTATACATATTCTCGAATGCATCCTCTAAGCAAAAAGATCGAGTTCCCAACTCCATGCACGGCCAGTCCTCCAGCTGCTTTCTTGATGCCAGTTTCGTCTTTGNNAGCTGCTGCTTGAAGGCATCAGGCGCATTTTCCATGATCCGACAAGCAATGTCTTTGCACTGCTCATCCTCCGGAGCGAACTCGACCATGCCCGCGGGACGCCCGCGGCCGCGAGACATATCGCACTCTATCTAGACTCTATCAGGTTCGAGGCTCGAGATGGCCAGGGCTGCATCCTTCAAGTGTCCAGGTGGCTTCAAATTCAGAGCCGGCCACATTTTCAAGCAGACAGAGAGTTGGAGCCCACCTGCTTGAAGCACACGTTTCTTGCTGATGCCCATAGGTCCTCAGGTGCTGCAGGCAACAGAGCCGGACACGAAGAAAGACAAAGTTCAGACAGGCAGAGCCTCCAGCAAGCAGGTAGAAGAAGAAGATGAAGAAAAGGCTCAATCTCGTCCTGGCGCATGCAGTGCTAGGATTCAGGGTCGAGCAGGGGAGCATGCAGGGGAAAGTGAGGGTGGCCGATGCCGACGCCTGTGAAGATGTCAGAATAGACTACTAGACAGGGTGGCCGATCGTGGCGGCGGTGGTGGGAGTCGCGGTTGTGTTTTCGTTTTATAAATCGCAGGCAGGAAGTCCGAGCCATGCGCAGAGATTATGTCACAGGACCACGGGATGCACTGCTCAAAAAGGGGACTATACTTGGAGCAGGCACTAGTGCACAAATCCCCTAGTTCGACACGCCTGCACGGGGACGTTGCAGCAGATGAAAACCCGAAGAGACTAGTTCCTCCACCTCCGCACTGGGCAACCGATGCAGACCGCCCGCATGATGTGCAACAAGCAAAAGCCGGCTGCCACCCCCCCATGGAAAAGTCGCATGCGGAGTGCGCGGCTCCATGGTGATGTAGGGTAGGCGAATCGTCATCATGCGTCCTGGTCCGGATTGGTTGTCCAAGTGGACCGAGCCAGTGTCGTCCGCAGTCCAAAGCTGGCCGCCACGCCACTTGCTAAGTGGCATCAAAAGGTTGACAGAGCGAGCATCGTTTCCCCTGTCACGATGAAGGAAATGCAGCACGTCCTTCATGACAGTGCAAGAACTGAAGTGATGGCGCGGATTCGCGCCGTTGATGAGAGAGCATAACCACCTCGTCGTCCATGGGAATGTTCTGCTGTTCACCTGAATCCCGCAGAATCCGCCTATGGAATACGCTCCCACTGAAAAGACACGCTGCTGACCATCCTCCATGCCAGAGCAGGAGGTGTGGCGGCGGCGTTTGGCCGATCGCTGATCCGGCAGATGGTTACCCAGAAAGGCCAAATGGGAGAGGTCACACCAACCTCTAGAACATACCACACTGGCCAAGACTTCCAGCGGCGAGGCATCCAGGGAAGGCAGCGGAGGCCTTGTACCAAAACGCACGTCGAGGGTGTAGCGATGCTCCGACTGTTCCATGTTCCAGATGTCCCCCCAATCCCCTGGAGACAGAAGTGCGCATGGGACCACAGGAACATCACGAGGAGCAGAAGGAGAAGCCAGCGTACAACAGCCGGAGGAACCATCGTCTGAGGAGTCTGAGGATATAGCCACCATTCCAGAGGCATCAGAGGCAGGGTCGGCCGCGGCCTGGGCGTCGAACGTCGGCGGAGGGTTCTCACTGGGAGAACCATCTTCTGAGGAGTCCGAGGATATAGCCACCATTCGAGACGCATCAGAGGCAGTGTCGGCCGTGGCCTGGGTCTCGAACCTCAGCCGATGGTTCCCGTTGGGGGAACCACCGTCTGAGGAGTCTGAGGATATAGCGACATGGTCGACCGGCTTGGACGGCAGCATGCGTGATTCTTTATTGGAAACCAGATGTTGTTTTCGTGCGTTGTTTCTTCCTTTGGTAGAGGTACACCAGTCCTATACGCAGTCCTTAAGCACGAGAATGCGGCGCTGAGCAGGATGCCTAGTATATATAGTAGTACGTCATAGTAAGTAGTACTTATTATACAGTGTTAAACCCAGGAGCACCCAATGCCTTCTCCGACACGGGGATGAGCGGACGGAATCCTGCATGTGCGGGACGAATGAGAAAGCAAGACTGTGAGGAAAATGCCAAGGGACCGAGCGAGCAAGAGCAACCCAACAGCATTTTTTCTCCAGACATGCAGGCCACAGCAGCTAGTTTCAAGTACAATTAATGTCAGGAGTGGGTCGGCCTGGCGTGAATCGTTGGGCATCCGGAATACTATGGATGTTTGCACGGTATTAAACCCTAGATACCCTAAACCCAAAATATACCAGGGAAGATAAACCCTACAAACCTCTAATTATATGTATCTTATTGAAGAAGTATGTATAGGAGGTCTACAGGATCCACCCACACAGGCCGTCCCATTTCCTGACGATGTTCGTTTTGCTATGGGGTCGGCCCTCGATCGTTGAGCTTAGGAATATGGATGTTTGCAGGTTATTAAACCCTATGGCATGAACCTTACAGCGAAAATATCCTCTGGATCGTGGGCCGGCCAATTTCAGGACTCGATCGGAAGAGCTCAGGAGCTAGAGGAGCTAGAGGAGCTAGAGCCTTCTGAGTCCGATGCTGCTGCGCAGCACATAGTCATAGTCCTGGCCCGCTTTTTGGCAGGCTGAGGGTTGCCGCCAGGGTTGCCGCCGCCGAAGTAAGCGCTCAGATCTGCATCTTGCCAGCTTTGCGGTTGCCTTTACGGTGTATGGTTTAGGGTTGAGGTTTGCGGACAAGGGTTTAAAATGATGAGTGCAGCTGAAGAACACAAAAGGCGAGGGCGGCGTCCGCGGCGGAAACCAAGATGGCGAGGGCGACCTCCGCGGGGGAAACCTGAGAAGTTTGCATGGTTTTCGGGTTTAGGGTTAACTGTTGGTTAAGTGCAGCTGAAGCTCCCCCCGGGAGGCGTGGTTGGAGTCCGCGGCGGCAAACTTAGAA